AAAATAAACATATACATACTGTTTTACAAGGCGTTACCTGCTTCGCGAAAGCTGTAAAAGCAAAACCAAAAAGGCACCTGGGAGGTGGAAAAACAAATTCAGCAGTCAAAATGTGCCAACATAACATTTCGCAGCAGTGCGCACGAACACTGAAAACTTTCAGTTTTAGTGCATTGACTGAATATTGCAGAGAAACTGTGACACACCAGCCCTTTACAAGCTGAGGAACCTATACTGACTCAGTAGCTGTGTTACTGATTGAATCAGTAGCTTTTTAAAGGCGATCTCGCCTGATGGGGGACTGTGAGAGTTGCTCCAGGCTCAAATGAAATTACTCGGTTACTCTGGTTAAAATCTTTCTAAAACGATCAGGAAAACAGTCCTGGTATCTTTGCACTGAGCTTATTACACTTTAACAGGTTAAACCAGCATTTCTTAACAGCTATGCAGCTGTTCCACTTCATACCTCATCACTATATTCCAAGGCAGTGCACTGTGAAGTGTGAGGTCGTGTGGATGAGCAGTTGTTATATTTCAGCTTAATCTGTTTTATATTAGCAGCTCATTCCAATAAGCCTTTGCATGTGAGATGTTTATGAAACATTGGTGAATTGCATTGTACAGAGTCTGCAAGTGTGGCATTAAGCATTTATTAAACTCAATCACAATCCTGGGACACCAACTGATCTCAGCGTTATTGCACATCAGCTAACAGCTGTCCTGATGCCTTTTCACACATCCACTTGGTGAATCTAATTTAGGTCCAATATTTAAGCTGTCTTAATGCTGCCATGCATTTGCAAGCCAGCCCGGTCCTGCTCTAAATGATGTTTCTGACCTAATCAGATAATCACAGTATCAATTGTCATTGATGCTTGTACCTGTCGCTTTTTCTTGGTCTCAGCTAGTCTTCTGATCAAATTAGTGGTTCGCTTTGCATTTTAAAGTTTCCATGGACAAGATACAGAGTCTGAATATGACAGGTGTTTGATGGCACAGAAGTTCTGTATGAATGGTTGAACCTTAAATGTAGTAAAAAGTGATTTGAGTTCACAGAGTAGAAAAACATTTTATAGAATATTGGGAAAAATAACGTTTTCGTAGGACCTTGATTAATCGATCAAATGATTAACAGATCGTGAGTTTGACAGTACCAGCGTTCAGTTGCTGTATGTGTCTTGGGAGTATGAAAAGGGGAATATTGGCAATTAATGGCCCATGCTTACACAGACATTCGGGTGTGTCTAAATTTATCTAAACTGACAGGTGAAAAATATTCAAAATAGTTGCCAGTCTTCCCAGGTGTGGATGTCCCAGCAAATCTACCCCAAGGTGAGATCACAGAAATTGCCAAAAAAAACCCAAACAAAAGCTACATTTCAGACTCTGCAAACTATTTTATTACATCAATGTAGGACTGTAAACCTCAATACAATTGGGTAGACAAAACAGAAAGCTGAACATGACATACTGCTAATAAAACCATTTAATAGCCACACTTTGTCACATAGCTAAATTTAACATCCAAACAGCCTCCAGGGATGTTTTGCTGTTTCTGTTGCACCTGTGACTGAGGGTTTCTAATATGAAGATAAATGCTTGGCAGGGCACGAGGGGCCAAAACTATTAAGCCCATTTTGAATGAAGAATTTCTATCTAAATGTGGACTGAACAAACCCGAGGATATCATTAATGAGAAAAACGATAATGGGGGGAAAAGCAATTGGTAAAAGCACTTTACCATGGAGTAGAATAAAGAAAACACTAAGTAACCTTATGAAACTGATAGTGTACTTATGATAGTTACATAAGTAAACCAATAAAACAAATCATCAGTCTGTCATCTCATAGTAAGAAGACTCTAGGTTTAAAGCTGTTCAAAGACATGACCGTCAGGTTATCTGATGATTCCAAAATACCTGGTGGCGTTCATGGATTGGTTATTTGAATCTGTGTTATCCTGTTAAATAAAATACTAATACTACTAATAATAATGAATTAATTATGAGAGAGTTAAGCCAAGGGTAACAGAGCCTTCATGCATTGAGTACATGAAATCCACAGAATTCCACAGGAATAAATTGGCATCCAATAAATGTTAAATGTCCAAATGTAGCTGTACAGGACCTAATGCTAACAATCAACATAAAACATGTGTTACGACAATTACAGTGCTGTGCAAAAAAAACTCTTCTTGAGCAACCCTTCATTTCTTTATATTTTGCTTCCAAGGAGCCAGACTTTCTTGTGATTTTTAAAAATGGTTGTGAGCAGGCTTTCTGAAGGTCCTTCAGAGTTCTTCTTTAAACATTGGCTGCTTTTTCACTGACTTTCAATCCAATCTTTGCACTGATAATTTTCAGAGGAAACCGATTTGTTTGTTAAGCTACTTATCACTGACATTTGAATCATTCAAACTTAAAAAACACACCTGAGTCTAACCAGTGTTGTTTCTACACATAAAAAGAACCAATTTTAAATTATATCTTTAGGAACTTTGTTACAAACATTCTCAATTTGGTCACTTTTCTTTTTGTTCAATCTCCAAATAATGTCAAAGAAAGTGGCAGGCCTAAAACTATCTGTAGCAGATGAACAGTATCTGAAATTCATGACCTTAAGAAACAAGAAAAAAGACTGGACACCGGGGCGGATCTAGAGAAACTTTCTTAGGGTGGCATGGAAATCAGATGGGGTGGCAAAATCAAAGCAATTTCTTCACACGTATGCAGGTGTTACTTCTGTAATAAGTACTATATATGGTTAAAATACATCAAATAGAGCAAGTATAACCAGTCTTCATATAAATATAGTCTGTAACTTTCTTATTGGTTTCAGCCCAGATAATTAGACACTCAATTATATAAAAAGGTGAATTTTGAGTACTGTATAATCTATGTAATAAATAAACATGTAGCCCAATAAGAATAAAATCAAGAAAGCTACACAACATGAGGTGGATCAGTTAGAAATACAAGTCTAACTAGAAGTTAGTTGTGACAAGGCGTTACCTGCTTCGCGAAAGCTGTAAAAGCAAAACCAAAAAGGCACCTGTGACGTCATACTTTTGCGACTTCGGGAAAAACCGGCGTAAAACAAAAAACTGTACTTAAGCTGCGTGAATCCGCCTCTGTCCGCTGATCAACTGACCCTGACCCTAACCCACACCCTAACCCTTTAATAAACAGTAAGCAGAATTGATATTATCCTTGCAACATTGGAATTTCATAAATGCACAAATGGCTTGGCACGCAAAGGAATAACGTCACAACAATGTGATTGGTCACTTGCAATGGTGAACCTGGAACAACATTTTCATGATGGTCTGGGAACAACACCAACACGAGGATATCAGATCATCCTTCCCTCCCCACAGCCTGGACCTGAACATTACTGAGGCAGTTTGGGATCATGCTGACAGAGAACAGAACAAAAGACAGTCAATATTAATTAAAAAGCTATAATGTTTGTTCAAGAAGTCTGGAGAACTTTTCCTGAAGACGACTTCAAGAAATTACAAGAAAGCTTGCCAAAGAGGGTTCAGGCTGTGTTTAAAGAATAAAGATGGTCAAACCAAATACTGACTTTCAAGTTTGTTAGCAATGTACAAACTCTGTTTTTGGATAATGTACCGTATTTCCGTGTAATTTTGCCCTTTAGAAAAATCCTTGTACTTATTTCCCACTTTAGCTAAACAAAATGACACAAGAGCACTCTGAGTGCACACTGCCCCTCCCAGAAGGGCAAGAGTTATACTAAAACAGTGATGTTTATGATGTTTTTATTACAACATGCTGCCGTTAGTCTGTTTTTATTACAACATGTTGCTGTCTGACCCATGACTTTGAAACATTACATACCATATTGTTGTATTTTATTATCTTTACCTCTGTGATTGGAGCCGAGTTGCTCTCTCCATGCTGTACATGCTCGCTCCATATTTGTGATAGATTACTCGATTTTTTTTGTCTAGGTGAACTTTGACCTTGTTCACTAACAATGAAGTTCAAGGTCAAATGCTTAGCCCGTCAGGGTATTCATGTCTCCCACGGCCTAGTATATTGTCATTAAATTTGAAGACAATAAATAAAAACACTGTGGGTAATATAATGTTTTTACTGATTTCCACAGTTGGTGTGACCTTGATTGGTTTCACCAAAATTAAATCAGCTTGAGCTGTTACTGACAAAGTTTGAACATATCTTAAAAACTGAGCACACTAGACTGCTAACAAACAAACATACAGACAAACAAACATGACCGATTACGTCCTCCCTGCCTCAGGGGTGTGAATGAGGGGTGGCTAAATCATAGTATTTATATGTTGTTTTAACAACAAAGGAGCTCTGAAGAAGTTTTTAAAACTCTAAACTTGATGTAGTTATAGTCAAAACCTTCAAGAGTAAGACCAAAGAAATGTAATCAGGTGTTGAAATTCTCCAGTGAAACAGTGCAATGATAACATAATTGGAATATGTCAAACTTTTTAAGATTCTGTAGCTTTTTTTTTTTTCAGATTAATTGTTCCTGAGGGACAAACATGCAAATTTTGGCACAGATTGTTTGTTATCTGCTTGTTGCTGTTATCTAAATAAGTCTGCAAGGGATAATAAATAGGGCTGAAATTCACAGTAAAGGACACTGTGTCTCTCTGTGTGTGCAAGTGTGTGGGTGTGTCCCTCAATGCATTATATGCTAGACTGAATGGCATATTTGTCAGTGAGATGTGGTAATTTGCTTCTTTATCTTCACTCAGTCACTATTGCGCTGTTGATATTGCACTCGTCTTTGAAGTGACAGTTTCTTCAGTCTTGTAGCATTTGTTTGTCTCTTTCAGTAAAGACCCTTATCTTTTTCCATCTGAAAGGATTCCTGCACTGCCCCTTTAAATCCACCGGCAGCATGCATATGTCTGCAAGCCTGCTCCACCATCTACATGCTTCATCATGCTTTTCGGACACAGTCTTGGTTAAACACAAGCAATGTGAGGCAGGACTTACCCAGAGCGAAAGAGCTTGAATGTGTCCTGAAGGCAACACTGGCCATAACTCCCTGAGTCCTGCCTCCTCGTTCACTATCAGTCTGTTTTCCTCTGTACTGTTGTCCACTTTGCTGCTTGCTGACAATATCTGGCTTCTTCCTGCTTCCTACTGCAAAGCATGATGGGAGCAGCAGCCCCTCTTGTCCTTGGCAGCCTGTTGTCCGTGGAGAAGAGCCTGGCGGGGGGATGGGGAGAGAATATGAGAGAAGGAGAGAGTGAGAGAGAGGAACCGTTGTCTGTGGATGATGGAAACCATGGTAACTAAGCTTCTGCTAGTGCGTGTGTGTGCATATTAGTAAGGATGATGCATTTTGAGTATAAAATTTTATCATATTTCAGTATTATCATAAGGGAACAAACAAATCCCGTTCTTTCCTATTCAGCTCATAAACACAGCTCATATTTACACTGTCATTAATTTAACGATTAATTATGTCTTTTAAATCAGCGGTCTCCAACCTTTTTTGCGCCACGGACCGGTTTATGCCCGACAATATTTTCACCGACTGGCCTTTAAGGTGTCGCGGATAAATACAACAAAATAAAACTAGTACCGGTACTGAAAAAAAGAAGATTTATTCATAACACACATGAAAAGACCCAGGAAAACCGAGTAAACGATAAAAACGATAACAAAATAACGCTGAAAACCAATAAAAACCCTGAAAACCATACATTTCACACCTGAGCCTCAACTCTCGCGGCCCGGTACCAAACGACTCACGGACCGGTACCGGTCTGAGGCCCGGGGGTTGGGGACCAGTTTTAAATAACAGATAAAAATATTCTGTGCCTCTCATGATCATCTGGAAAAGGGGCAGAATTATGCTCATTTCCTGCTTTAAGAGCTTAGTGTTGTGATTAGTGTGATTCACTATGTGAAACAAGCTGTTTTAGCTCCCTTCTCTCTTGCTTTTGTCATGGTCCGGGTGAATACGGGGTGTTTCCACTCTGCTGGGCTCCACCTTCAGACGGAGACTCCAATCAGCTTCCACACCTGGTTCCAATCAAGTCACCTGCATATAAGACCAGCGTTCACGACAGACCCCTGCCAGATCTTCTGCTAACACATGTTAGTGCTAGGCCGCCAAGCCCTTGCGAGAACTCTGGATTACTGTTTTTTCTCCTCACCGTGTTTTCTTTCCTTTTTTGCCATAGGACCCATCTGCCTGCCTCCCTGCTCAGCTCCCCACTCCAAGCCTATTCTGGATCTGCTTTGGACACTCCTCACCCGGAACCCCCTGGACACTCCCTCCTCGATTGACACTCCAAATCTGCAACGCTGACTTCACACCTCCCTCCAAGCCGCTGCCCCCTTTCTCCATTCCCCCGGATCCCTCTGTGGAATCCAGCCCTCAGAGTTTCTCGTTCACAGTCTTGCCTCACAGTTTTCCGCTCATAGCTTTCACAGTTCATAGCATGCATAGGTTATAGCATTCTTAGTTTTCTGTTTTGTAACTTCGCTCAGCTCTGTAAATAAACTCTGTGCTCACGCCCGTTTTGCCTCCCTCTGTGTCTGCATTTGAGTCCACACCCACTGCCTGGCCCTCTCGGCCGTAACAGTAAGATCTGGCCACAATATGGACGCAGCAGACGCAGAGCGGACTGCCATTCAGAAACAAGGTGCCATCCTAGGTCACCACGAGCAATCCATTCAATATCTCCTGGCTTCGCAGAAAGACCTTGGTGAGGGACAGGCTAAGATCTTTGCTGCCCTGGAAGCCCTACAAGCTAACCTCACGCCCGTGCCGCGTCCCGCCCCCGAACCCGCGGTCCCGCACAAGTCACTCAGCCGTCTGCTTCGTCCCCCGCCTCGGCTTCCGCGCTCCAAAGTGGGCTGATTTTTCGCGACGCATCATCTCCAGAGCCCGAATCTTTTTCTGGGGATCCGGGGAGCTGCACGGGGTTCCTGCGTCAGTGCGACCTGGTATTCGGCCGCTCACCGCGCACCTTCGTTGACGACGCCGCTCGGGTTTCCTATTTCATAGGGAAATTACGGGATCGTGCTCTAAGATGGGCGGAAGGATACCTGTCAAGCCATCCCTTGCAAGCCTGCTCCTACGATAACTTCCTGGGTGAGTTTAAAAGGACATTCGCTCATCCTGTCTCTGAGGGCAGTTCGGCCCGCAAGTTGTTAAAGTTGCGCCAGGGTCGCCGCAGTGTCGCTGATTACCTCATAGACTTCCGTACGGCCGCCGCGGAAACGGGGTGGCCGGATCACGTGTTGCAGGGAATATTTCTACAGTCCCTGAATGATAACATGAAGGATCAGCTTGCTTCTCGGGATGAGCCCGCTACGTTTGAGGAGCTAGTCTCCCTTTCTCTCCGTATTGACAACAGGCTGAGAGAGAGGGAGTATGAAAGGAACTACAAACCCCAACGTTCCCTCCTCCGTCCACTTCCGTGTTCGGCGGTGCCAGCTCCACCCATAATGCAGTTGCCTGTGTCGGTTGTCTCTCCCCCCGTCGTAGACGCGGCGCCGGAACCGATGCAGATAGGCCGCGCTCAGCTGACGCCGGAAGAGAGAGAGCGTCGTTTTCGTGCACGCGCGTTTCTATTGCAGGTCAACCGAACATTTAATCGCAGCATGTCCTAAGAGGGGAAAAGGGCCAGCCCGCCAGTAGATTCGGGGATACGGGTGGGCGGTTCTCTTAGTGATGACAAACCCCGTTTGCTTCTCACAGTCAGTTTAGTTATCAACCGTGTCATGCACTCCCTTCAGGCTCTGGTCGACTCCGGGTCGGAGCAAAACCTAATTAGTTTTGACTACGCCACACAGTTAGGGTTGCACCTGGTGCCGTTAGACCCGCCTATTTCAGCGAGAGCACTCAATAACCAGGTTTTTGCACAAATAACTCACCACACAGAACCAGTGACTGTAATCACTTCAGGTAATCATAGGGAGGAGCTCACTTTCTTCGCCCTCTCATCGCCCGACACTCCCCTCACATTCGGCTACCCTTGGTTAAAGCTGCACAATCCACACTTGGATTGGTCAGGACAAAAGATAACAAGCTGGAGTGTATTCTGCCATTCTAACTGTTTGATGTCAGCGTGCCCCCCGAGTCCCGAGGAGCCCTATGCGTTGGATGAAACCACCCCCGATCTCACTGGGGTGCCCCTAGAATATTACGATTTCAAAGAGATTTTTAGCAAGAGTAAGGCACAATGTTTGCCGCCTCACAGACCGTATGACTGTGCCATAGACCTTCTCCCCGGGGCTCCTTTGCCCTCCAGCCGGTTATACAACATATCCAAACCAGAGCGTGCTGCTATGGAGAAGTACATCAGAGAGTCACTTGCTGCTGGACTAATTCGACCGTCGTCTTCACCTGTTGCAGCTGGATTCTTCTTTGTGGGTAAGAAGGACGGGTCGCTACGACCGTGTATCGATTTCCGTGGTCTCAATGACATAACCATAAAGAATAAATACCCATTGCCACTCATTAGTTCCGTGTCAGAGTACCTGCAAGGCGCCACTATCTTCACAAAACTGGATCTGCGTAATGCTTATCACTTGGTACGTATCCGGCAAGGAGATGAGTGGAAGACGGCCTTCAACACGCCACTGGGCCACTTCGAGTACTTGGTCATGCCCTTTGGACTAACGAACGCCCCAGCCACTTTTCAAGCTTTGGTGAATGATGTGCTCAGGGACTTTCTGAACAGATTTGTGTTCGTGTATCTGGACGACATACTCGTCTTTTCCAGATCGCTCCAGGAACATCATGTTCATGTCCGTGCGGTCATCCAGCGCTTATTGGAGAACAAGCTGTACATAAAGGCGGAAAAATGTGAGTTTCATGCATCGTCAGTCTCTTTTCTTGGTTATATCCTGGCAGGGGGGCAGCTGAAGGCGGATCCGGCAAAGGTCAAGGCAGTCACAGAGTGGCCGGTGCCCACGTCCCGCAAGCTACTCCAACGATTCCTGGGCTTTGCCAACTTCTACAGGCGATTCGTCAGGAACTACAGTCAGGTAGCCGCACCCTAACACGCCTCACATCTACCAAGCACACATTCACATGGTCTGCTGAGGCCGACAGAGCTTTCAACAAGCTAAAACAGCTGTTTGCAACCGCTCCTGTGCTAATTCAGCCCGACACCAGCAAGCCCTTCATCGTAGAGGTGGATGCATCGGATGTTGGAGTGGGGGCAGTGTTGTTGCAACACACTGGTCCATCAGCAAAGTTACAACCCTGCGCTTTCTTCTCTCGCCGCTTGTCTCCGGCGGAGAGAAACTACGATATTGGGGACCGTGAGCTGCTTGCTGTGAAACTAGCATTGGAGGAGTGGCATTACCTGCTGGAGGGGGCTGAGCACCCATTCATAGTCTGGACAGACCATAAAAATTTAACATACCTACGGAATGCAAAGAGACTAAATACACGCCAAGCCCGTTGGTCGCTGTTTTTTGCTCGTTTCAACTTTTCTATCTCATATCGCCCAGGTACCCAGAATATCAAGCCAGATGCTCTCTCCCGCCAGTTCGAAGCTGCTTCAGAGCAGTCAGGGGTGCCCTCCATACTCCCTGCCAGCTGTCGGGTGGGGGCTGTCGCATGGGAGGTAGACTCCGTCATTCAGCGGGCTCTTCAAGCAGAACCTGATCCGGGCACTGGGCCTGCTAACAAGCGCTATGTACCCACGGCAGCCCGCTCCAAGGTGTTAGAATGGGTTCACACGGCCAAGTTCGCAGGTCACCCGGGCCGAGGCCGGACGGCTATGCTACTGAAGAGACACTTTTGGTGGGAAACATTGGATAGGGATGTACGTGAATACGTAGCTGCTTGCACGGTTTGTGCTCGTAATAAGTCCAGGAATCACCGTCCTTATGGACTGCTTCACCCACTAACCACCCCACACCGGCCATGGTCTCATATTGCGTTGGATTTCGTTACGGGACTTCCAGACTCGGCAGGGAAGACTACCATACTTACCATAGTTGACAGATTCTCCAAGGCCGCACATTTCATAGCTCTAGATAAACTGCCCACTGCTTCGGAAACAGCTAAACTGTTGGTGGAACGTGTTTTCAGACTCCATGGGATCCCTATGGAAATCGTGTCTGACAGGGGTCCCCAGTTTGCTTCTCAGGCCTGGAGAGCCTTTTGTACGGCCCTGGGGGCCAAGCCCTGTTTGAGCTCAGGCTACCATCCACAGACCAATGGCCAGACTGAGCGCTTAAACCAAGAACTTGAGACCACTCTTCGCTGTGTTACTGCCCAGAATCCAGCCCGTGGGTTGAATATGCGCATAACACACTCACCGCCTCAGCCACGGGTCTTTCGCCTTTTGAAGCATCCTTAGGTTACCAGCCACCTCTGTTCCCCGAGCAGGAGGCCGAGCTTGCTGTGCCTTCGGTCCAGCATCATCTACAGCGTTGCCGCCGGGCCTGGACGCGGACTCGTGAGGCGCTGTTGCACGCTGTGTCTCGCCAATGCCACTACGCCAACCTGCGGCGCACGGCGGCTCCTACTTACTCTCCGGGGCAGAAGGTGTGGGTGGCGGCTAAGGATATCCCGCTCCAGGGAACCTCCCGCAAGCTGTCTCCGCGCTATATCGGGCCTTTCAAGGTTGACAGGTTAATCGGCCCTGCGGCAGTCAGGCTTGCATTACCTACATCGTTGCGGATCCATCCGGTGTTCCATGTTTCGCAGGTCAGGCCGGTGTTGTCTAGTCCTCTGTGCCCTCCTTCCGACCCCCCTCCTCCCGCCCGGCTCGTCGATGGTCATCCTGCCTTCTCGGTGCGGCGTATCCTGGACGTGCGGCGGAGGGGCAGGGGCCGGCAGTTTTTGGTGGACTGGGTGGGGTACGGGCCTGAGGAGCGTTCGTGGGTGTCTCGGTCTCTGATCTTGGACCCGGCGCTTGTTTCTGATTTTTTCAGGTCTCGTCGCGTGTCCGGGTCTGCTCGGTCGCCGGGGGGCGATCGTTGAGGAGGGGGTACTGTCATGGTCCGGGTGAATACGGGGTGTTTCCACTCTGCTGGGCTCCACCTTCAGACGGAGACTCCAATCAGCTTCCACACCTGGTTCCAATCAAGTCACCTGCATATAAGACCAGCGTTCACGACAGACCCCTGCCAGATCTTCTGCTAACACATGTTAGTGCTAGGCCGCCAAGCCCTTGCGAGAACTCTGGATTACTGTTTTTTCTCCTCACCGTGTTTTCTTTCCTTTTTCGCCATAGGACCCATCTGCCTGCCTCCCTGCTCAGCTCTCCACTCCAAGCCTATTCTGGATCTGCTTTGGACACTCCTCACCCGGAACCCCCTGGACACTCCCTCCTCGATTGACACTCCAAATCTGCAACGCTGACTTCACACCTCCCTCCAAGCCGCTGCCCCCTTTCTCCATTCCCCCGGATCCCTCTGTGGAATCCAGCCCTCAGAGTTTCTCGTTCACAGTCTTGCCTCACAGTTTTCCGCTCATAGCTTTCACAGTTCATAGCATGCATAGGTTATAGCATTCTTAGTTTTCTGTTTTGTAACTTCGCTCAGCTCT